AGGACTTGTGGCACCTTTCTTTGAATTAAAAAAAAAAAATGAACGCGCTATCTGGCTCACCCCTTCCCTAATTCAACCTCAGAGCCTGTGGTGGTATTGCAAAATGTTCGGAATGCTCACCCAGTAGGTTTGGTTCACATCCTTCCTCCTATTGACTAAAGCTGCTGTATCCCCTTATGGGCCAGTATATATAAGAATTTGATGGGAAGATTAGGGCTCTGAACCCTAACCATATTTGAATCTGTATGTGTGTGGTCTGAAAGAGCAGCTTACACAATGAGGAATGGGAGGCCACTAAAATGATTCTGCTTCTAAATATTTTGACCTTTATTGACATTTATAAGTAGCAGGCAGCTTAATTACCAATTAGGGGAAGTTATTAGTTACAAAAAGAGCCTGTTCTATTTTCCTGTATGGCCTCTTTCCCAACCCAGTGCAGCTCAGACAACATTATTGTGGCAGAACAAGGCAACATAACCCAAGAGGTCCGGGTTACCTTTCAGCTAACCTACATGGGAATCCTTATCCAAGTTAAAGAACTTTTAAAAAATGTATCATCCAGAAAGATTCCATTCGGAGCAAAAACATGTAAGACCTTCCATTTCTAAAGCAGCCTTAGGGCTTGGCATCGCATGTGTTATAGGTGCCTTCCTAAACAAAGTCACTTGGTGGATTTGAATTATTGGTTGTTTTGTCTTTAGGAATATCTATAATTCAGGCTGCCATTTATGAATTCTGCATTGTTGGGGCATGGAATGGGAAGCGGAGTATAAATATGACTTCAATTGGACATGGCAATCTTCACTTCTCATCCTAAATTGTTGAGTAGACATGCTGTGTGCAGGTAAAGAACTGACAATTCCACCCTAGAGGTGGCTGCATTCCAGTAGTAGATAAAGCAATTGCTTTATACACGTTACAAAGTAGCAGCCGTGTTAGTCTGTATCCGCAAAAAGAACAGGAGTACTTGTGGCACCTTAGAGACTAACAAATTTATTTCAGCATAAGCTTTCGTGGGCTACAGCTCACTTCTTCAGATGCATAGAGTGGAACACACAGACAGAAGATATTTATACATACAGAGAACATGAAAAGGTGGAAGTACCCATACCAATTGTAAGAGGCCAATCAATTGAGATGAGCTATCAGTAGCAGCAGAAGAAAAAACTTTGAAGTGATAATCGAGATGACCCATAGAAGGTGTGAGGAGAACTTAACATGGGGGGAAAAAATTCAATTAGTGTAATGACCCAACCATTCCCCCCCACACCTGCAAACACTCATGCATTTGAGTAACTTTACATACATTAATGGTCCTATCAATCAAAATGGGACTGAGTAAATGTTTGCAGAATCAGTACCCTAGTTTAAACCCCTTCAATAAATTATGCTTAATAAGAGTAAGACCGTAATTATTAATAATAATTATTAGGAGTCGCAAGAGCTTCTTGCCATAATCTTTCCAGAATTTCATGTTTTTTAAAAGAAAAAACCAGGAAAGCAGTGTAAATCCAGAAGTATTTTGTGTTAACAAAGCTAAAATGTCTGATTCATTGAAGCAGTGTTAATTTGGAGCTAGGCATCACTGGCAAAAATAATTAAATAATTATGCACCTCTGAAGCCTATTTTTCAAAGATGAATGGTATTTAGCATTACTTTCAGCTCCTCTGTTTATACGAACATTGCTTCTCGCAGTCCTTGAGATCCCAGCCTTGAAATTCTTACTCATTCATGCAAACGGGGTGTGATCCAGAGTCCTTTCTATTGACTTCAATGGACATTAGATTGACCTCATGCAGACAGACTGTCAAAGGTATTTACATGCCTGAAGATACAGATAGGCATCTGGTGGGATTCTCAAATCCCCCAAGAAGGTCAGGTACCTAATTTCCATCAAAATCAATGAGAGTTAGGCACCTAACTCCCCTGAGCACTTTTGCAAAACATAGTAGGTCCCTAGCTGCATCTTCAGGCCCCTAAATACCATTGAAAACCTGGCCAATAGTCTTTAGCAAGGAGTCCCATTGACTTCAGTAAGTCATACTTTGCATGGCTAAAGACTGCAGGATTGGGCTACCCAAAAGTGTTTCCTCATTGAAAAATACATGGCAACACTTGCTTAACAGCAACCCAAAGAGGCAGCCCCCCCTTCACACACACACTCAAATACAACTGGCTGACATTTGTGGAGCCTTGGGTTTAATCTTCGCTTTAGTGACAGTTAATTGCCATCTGTTCTTTGACTGACTTCTTCTTTGAGCAATAGCCTACACTATAACCAACCCTAGACGAATGCTCATGCAAGAGCACTCTTCTTCAGAAAGGGTCATTAAGACTGTCGTCTCTCTCATTAAAGAGAGCTTTATTTTCCTTCCAGGTGTCATTCATTAGGACAGGGATTGATGTTCAGGCTATCATCTTGACAAAAGACCATTGGCCAAGACATCAATGCCTGTCCTAATAGAGGACACCTGTAAATGAGCCTCTCTTCAGTGGAACAGACTGACGAAATGACCCTGCTCCTAGAAGAAGGCATATTAATAATGATTTATTCAGTGCTGAATCCAACGGATCCTAATATCTAAAGACAAAATAGCTCCTATTCAGTCCTTGACTTCATTAACGCTAAAGAAACAAATATAAAAGCTTTGCTAGAACAGCTTGGAAGAAATAACCATATAGATTTGTTGGTGCACTAGAAAGTAAACAACTAAAATGTACATGTGCTATATCTATTGATCAGAAGCAGCTTACCGAAATGACAAAATGTCTCTCTGCACCTTTCCTTGAAATCATGGACTTCAGTCATTTGATTAAGTTAGACCATGAATTCTAAGAAGAAATCACAGAAAAGGAAGGCATGGTTATGCATCAACAAGGAAGCAATGTTCTAGCTTTGTACAGCCACTAGCACAATGGCATTGCTCTTTATCAGAGCTATTGTAGTGCTACCATAATATAAATAACTGATAATAATACAAATGGTGAAGTTAAGAAATCTGGTGTCAATAGGGATTAGTGTATTCATGATCTCACAGTCTCCCATGGGCAGAATTCATGAAGGACTTTTTATAAACATTCAGACAAGTTATTCTTGCTGTCAGACTACTTCCTCTGCCCATCCATCGAGCCAAGACACAAATTTGGAAAGATGATGAGAACATGCTCAGTTTAGTTATCTTGTTGCCAGTAGGATATTGGCAGTGAGATGTCACCTTCCCCATAACACTGAACAAAGATCAGCTGTCAGTGTTTATCCCAGTTGCAGGGAATCATTAGGAAGGCTGATCTGTTGTTGTCATTTTATCAATGGACTCTTTTTTAAAATATAACTTGTTGAAGTTGGTGGACACATATTGCATAGTGGCTGTCACAATTCAGGGCAATTGCAGATGTATTCCCCCTGTGGTCCACAAAGGGCAACCAACCTCAGGCTTTCAGCTCCCAGCCATCATCTCTCTTGGGCAGAGACTTACGTCTCTCTCCCTCCTGACCTAAGTTCCCTCTAAGCTGCGTGGTCACGCAGCAGGCTATCCAGGGCCATGCAGGTGGGGAGAGGTGCATTTTCCCTGGCCTCAGCCCCGGAGCTGCCGTGGCCGGGAAGAGGCGCTCTCCCCCAGGCCTGGGCTGCTGCGGTGAGAGAGGGCTAAGGGAGTCCTCTCTCCCCACCGCAGCCTCGGGGCAGCCTGCACCCCAAACCTCTCATCCTCGGCCCCATCCCAGAGCCCACACCCCCAGCCAGAGCCCTCACCCCCGCACCCTAACCCTCTGCCCCAGCCCTGAGCCCCCACCACACTCCGAACCCCTCGGCCCTACCCCCTCCACATATGACTCCATATTGGTGCACATAACAAAATTCATTCCGCACATGGATGTAAAAAATTAGAGAGAACATTGCTCCTGACCAGGGTTTTTTCAGGCTGCACAGTTCCCTGCCTACACTGAGTTCTCCAGCCAAGTAGACTGCCTAAGCAATTATGAGAAAAGATTTTTTTTTAAACAGGACCTACATGCATGCTAATAAGCTCACCAGAAATCACCCCAACTGCATCAGCAGCTCTGGCAAGTGAATAGTCCTTCAAACCCCACCCCAGAGTTTTTCCGTAGTTCATAACTGCTTTGATTCAGAACAAGCACCCCCTGAATCTGAGTCACTCCTTTATACAATTTGGGCCTCTGATCTTGTCCTGATATAACAGATGGGCAGACAGAAGGCCCCTCCTCAAGGAGAAGCTTCAGAACGCTGGAATTTTGCATAACCAGAGGAGGGGGAGATACATTGTTTAAAAGAGTCCTTTGAAGATCATACCATTTCCCAGGGTTTTCATTAGTCACATCTCTCCCCAGAGATGGTACATACAATCCCACAATACTACACAAACAATTGCATTTTTGGTACAATGAACTCTTAAGATACTGTAATTTAGTTCAATAAGGCTTAACTTAATTCAATAAGGTTTGTTCAGGATATTGCAGGAAATTGCCATGTCTGTCATAGTGGTGTCATGTGATTGCTATAGAGGATACAACAGCACTTTAATAGTATAATAGTTGTCCAATGCACAGCTGGATTTTCATTTCCTAAACTAATATATACTAATATATACTAATACAAGACTATTATGTATTCTTTAAAACAGGAAGGCTGTAATACTGCCATGTAGCTAGGGATATTCATGAGATATTCACAAGAAGCAGTTCAGTTAACATGGCTTAGCAACTAAATGACCAGAAATTATTATTATTTATTAGGGTAGCACCTACAGACCCCAACTGAGACGTGATCCTGTTGTGCTGGGTACTGTACAAACGCAGAGTGAGGGACAATCCCTACCCTAAAGAACTTATCTCAGGTCTCCTGACTGCCAGCACAATGCACTATCTGGTGGACCTTGCTGCCTCTCTGATCTGTCTGTGCTCAAGTCACAGATAATAATTTCAGTACTGTCTGCTGTTTGCAAACGTAAAACTTCCTTCCAAAGAATTACAATGGGTCTTACAGTAACATGTAGTGTAAACAAATAAACTTGGGCAGGATACCTAGGGAGGTGGTGGAATCTCCATCCTTAGAGGTTTTTAAGGCCTGGCTTGACAAAGCCCTGGCTGGGATGATTTAGTTGGGGTTGGTCCTGCTTTCAGCAGGGGGTTGGACTAGATGACCTCCTGAGGTCTCTTCCAACCCTAATCTTCTATGATTCTATGATATCAGAGCAGCCTTTGAGCTCCCACTAGCATGCTTATTATTTTTGTGGTTTTGATTTGTATGTAAATAATACTGATCACAAATGAACAGACATCTCCCTAGAATCTGCTCCCGGATCCCTTTGTGTAGACAGGCAGAGGAGAGAAGAGGTGCAGAAAGTCCTTTTCCACTTGCACAACTACTCAGTGTGTAGCAGAATCCTGCAACTTGAGTAGTGTTAGTACAATCAGAGTTACCAGAGCTCCCCACAGAGGGCGGAGTCACATCCGTAGCCCCACTACTTTCCTCACTGGCCATCCATCAAGTGCACTGTTGGGGGAAGCACACACTGTGCTCGTAAAAAGTGTAGTAGTTGCCATCCCCATATAAGCCTCACATTCTGCTTCCCACTGTTCTTTCTGTAGGCACGTCTGCAGGCCTCTAACACGGCACTGGCTTTAAAGGCCACGATATAGCCCTAACAGCAGAGGATACACATATTGGTAAGCAATATTCACAAGTCACAGAGAATAACATTTAGCAAAGACTAGGAGTGGCTGCTAAGAGCACTGAGTATGGACCAGAAAGAATTCCAGAAGATTGCTACATCATTTTGCTAATGCTCTTCACTTGGAGTTGCCAAATACTTGACAGTATTAAAATGGCTTGCATCACTCCCATTTCCATGCACCAGCTTGCTCAGAGTGAGGTCGCTCCACAGTCAGGCGTGATCCAACCGGCTCAAACAGCCTTGAAAATGAACGATTCTCTCACCTCCAGGAGTGGTTCCTCCGGGTCAGGGCTGAGGCACATGGACTAGGAAGCAGTGGGGAAGTTTGTACTGCTCATGCTGTCCCTTCTTGGTGGGTAAGTCGAGCTTTCTAGCAAATCCTGGATCTTTCATGATCCCTAAAGAAAATCCACACACAGGGAAGATCAGTGCAAAGAAAGCAATCAGGGAAGAGACACCTACAACTTTCTCTGCAGGCGAGAAAATAGGGAGCTTGGTCCTTTGAGATGCAGCCTTTAATTATCTGAACAAATCATTTACCAGGGAGTTATAGAGATGACAGGAATGGCCTGGTTCACATCGCAGAGCATGTAAAATCCAAGAAATTAGTGGAAGCGCCACAACTCTTCTGACCACCAGCTTCCTAGCTTTACAATAGCCCTCCCCTGCTTATATTAACAAAAGAGGGCTCTTAATGCCTTCCGCTGGCCCCATACCACATTATTCTGACACACTTCTAAATCCTTCATCCCGGGATTGTCCTATTTAAAGATGTTTAGTTCTGCTCTTTCCCTACTCTGTAATTTTTGGCCAAGCCTTTTAGTGCAGCATCATGCACAAGCCTCCACTGCTGATTTTATAGCCAACCCTAGACTTCCGAAATAACTCCAGCTGTTTGTGAAAGTCTATTTTGGAAATATGAGACTGATCCTTCACCCACTGAAGTCAATGGCAAAACTGGTACTGAGTTCAGTGGGAGTTGGACCAGGCCCTAAATTCTTGGATGGTATGTTTTTAATCAGGGCGCCTTTGCTTTGACAAGGAAATTATTTACACTACATTAGTATTCATTGTCCACCTACACAGGATATGAAATTAGCAGTAACAAAAAGGTTACGTGTATTTGTGCCAAAAGGGCTTGCTCCTTGCAGAGGAGGTCTTGGTAATGATGGTGACTCTTGGATTTACAAAAATGTATCTGTTCTAAGAAATTAAACAAAAAAACCCATCAGTCTGTGGGCTTTGAGGAATCTAACCTGTTTTGTTTGGTATTAGAAAGCTCAATGGAGAGCTCTGTGTAAATTATTTCATCCCAAAACAGACCCAGTGAATGAAAAACAAAAATAAAGCACGAGTAAAAGGCTGGAGGATAAGTGAGGGGGCTGGAGCCCATCTGATCCGGTCTATTCAAGCACCTCACTTCAGTTAAACAGAGAAATCTCATCCTGCAAAGCATCTATTAAGGAAAAGAACACAAGAGATCTTTGTGCCCATGAAAATAAAAATATATGGTCTTTCCTATGTAAGGTGTTTCATTCAGTACTGGTGAAATGTGCAGCCCTGCAGACTGAAGTCCACTATTTCGGTCTAATCCAAAGCCTGTTTACATTAATGGAAAGATCTCATTGACTTCAATGGCTTTTGGATCAAATTCTCAATCCACATTGCAGTTATAGCACAAAGAGCAATAGTGCAAGCTTCCCCTCCCACCCACTCCACTACCAAGAAGCCTCAACTCTGACCTAGAGGGACCAACTCTCAGGGTGAGACAGGGGTTTGGTCTCCAGGTCCCATCTCCCCATCTCCAGAGAGACTTCCAACAAGGTCAACAAAACCCAGACTGAACATTTCTAAACATTCTCAAATTCAACCACAAGTGATTGGGCTTAATAACGTTCACTTATGCAGTAAGAAAGAACAGTTCCCTTACTGCAGAACTCATTGTCTGAGACTCAATGGCCTGCATTTTGCAGGAGGTCAGACTAGATGACCATGGTGGTTCCTTCTTGCATGGAAATCTATGAATTCATGCCACTTGCAGGGTTGTTTTTTGTAAAGTGGACATTCATCCACTAGGATCTAGACCATCAAACTCACGTCACATAGGCAACTACCACCTGAGATTGCAAACTGGGGCTTGGAATTGATTAAGAGGGGCCCTTTGACAAATCTGTTTCTAATGCCGGCTGGAACCAGGAACTGTGGGGCAGGTGAAAAGGAAAATTCTTTATTAAAACGTTATTTCAACTTCTTCAGTCCTCAAGCCTGTTTGGTTTGGTTTGAGCTGCAGGCAAACGTGCCGGTCACTGGAGGATTTTCATTGGAACCAGTTAACTCATCTCTAGCTGAAAGGTGTTTGTTGTTTTTCAATAAAAGAAAAGGAATCCCAGGCGACATTAAAATGGGACATATCAAAAATATATTTGTCATTAATCCCGTTCAGATTCAGTCTGACACTGCAAAGCACCCAGCAAAACCAAACAGTTGCAGCACTGGATACTGCCCGACTGAATATGCCTCCAAAGCTTCAGATTGAATTATACTGTAGGGAGGAGAGGAAAGAAGAAATAATTAAAGGTACATTTTAACCCCGCTCAGGACTGAATGGCCAACCAATGGAATGGCATGATGGAGAGCGTGTAGTTGACATTTGTTATATATCCATAGCCATTAAATTAGTCAAAGTCACAGTGTAAAGGAGAGACTATACAAGATTCTGTATCATTATACCTGGTCCAGCACAAAAACTGGTCCAGAAAAACCTTCGGTTTTTTTTAATCTTTCCTACATCTTGAGGACACAAATTTTCCTCTATTCATGGTACTTTTAAAACAACTTTCTCAGGCAAATGATTACCAGCATAAGGTCTGTATTCCAGCACACAAGGAGGTCAATGATCTCAGCTCACTGCATGAATTAGTCTTAACAGGAAGATATAAATAGGCATATATTGTATAAATATACCTATGAGCATAACTCTTTGAGTGGGAGCAGGTGGCTTCCCCAACCTGCTCCATACACAATCCATACAAGTTGTAGCAGCTCAAAACTTACTCCCTATCCTGGCGTTTTGTTTCATTTGCAAGAGGATCACAAAAATAAAGCAACACAAAACCCAGCTTACTCCCAGGGTTCCTACCCCAAAACTCTCAGCTCATACCATAGGTCCTCTCTCTAGAAAGCCACTCCCAGGTCCCTTATAACCAAATAAGGGGCCATCTGCAACAGTGAGTCAATAATAATCAACGGCTAACAGGGTGAGTTTTCAGACAAACACTGCCAGACTGTTATATTAGAGACCTGGATAACTCAATGAATTAGTAATGATATATGGAGATTTTCATCTCTATGTTGCCAGTTTAAATGCAGCTCAGATTAAGTCTCCGTCCAATTCAACATGGACAAGTATCTCCATCATTGAAACCACCACCACAGTTGGCACCAATTGGCAATTTCATTGGAATACTCAGAAGAGAGGCCAAGCACAAGAGACGGAGGAGAATAGAGAGCATGGAGTCTGAGGACCTCTCTTTCTTATTTCTAGGTCAGGACTGAGATGCAGTGGCAAAGCAGTGAAGGGGAAACTTGTTCCACAGTTGCCCAGGCGTCATCAGTTATGTGGCTAAGCAGAGACTTTAGTCTCCAGCACTGTCAATCTTTTCCTTAGTTTTGACTTCACACAAGAATAAGACAAAATGACACAGAAACTATAGGTCCATCAGACATGGGGTAAAACAAAGTGAGATGCATGGCCAATAAATGGGCTAGCTCCTGGAACTAGGAGCATATTGCATCAAGATCTCAAAGCTTTCTTCTCCTTCAAAACTTCCTATTGACTACAGGCCAATACCCATTGATATAATTGGAAAATCTCCCAGTGGGGTTTGGCTCAAGCAATAGATGATGGTGTAGAGTAAAACAGGAATGAGTATGCTGAGTACTACTGTACAAAGAGACAACTGGTAGAGGGGCTCTTAAATAATCAAACTCCCAGGGTCAATGTTGAGCAGAAGTCATGACACATCATCCCTGTTAATCTGATCAGATTTAACGGAGTTATTTCAATTTGTTTTGTACTGTTTAATAGAGAAGAATGTTGCATCCTGAATATATTCCATAGCATGGTTTGGGAGAAGACTTAAGAGCTTGATTTTCAAAGGTGTGTAGCTCCCAATACTGGTTGATTTCAACGGGGAGCTGAGGCCACTGAACATGTCTGAAATTCAGACTTTAAAATGCTTTTAACTACTGGAAAACGTCCCAGGTCTGATCCTGTGCCACTGACTTCAGTGGGAACAGATTTGGGCCCCATCCTATATTATGTTCTTGGTGCCATAAATATACATGGAGAAATTATTTACAAAGCATATGTCCAAAAGATTAAACACAAATGAAGTGCGCACAAACGTCAGCCGGGGGCGGTTGCTGATGTATGGCCTTTAAGGAGTCTGAATAGTGAGGCAAGTCCAACTCCGCAACTGTAAACAGCTATTTGCAGGAGTGAAGTATTTTCCAGCGTTTTGATGACCAAGCAAAGTTTAATAAATCATATCACTCCGCGCACACAGCTTGTTAGGAGTCAAACAGCTGTAATGCCCTTGAGAACTATGCAGTGGGTTCTGGGAGGAAGGAAATAGCTGCCACATGCGGTAAATAAAAAAAAATTATAGTTCTGCTGCAGAATCATTCCATTCAGTCTGGCTAGAAATACAGACAGCTACAGACCGATCATTCATCTCCAACATAAACACAGATTGGGTTAGACGAGCTGTAAAATAGGTTGAGATTTTTAGTAGATGACATAAATAAATGTATTTTTATATTTCCTGACCACATTAAGCTTGAAATCAGAGCTCTAAAATGCAAGGTACAAGTTATAAGGCTTCTAATAGTCATTAAAGACCAATAGTCACATTGAAGCAATGTTTTCTCCTTAGAGGTATGTTTTGCTGCACTGTGTAAATACAAGGGGGGTTGTTATACATTTGAAATTATATGGAGCTGAAAATGATCATTCAAAAAATTTAAAGTTCTTCTAGGAGGACAAGATGAAAACCACTTCAGGAAGCTAGAAGTCAGATTCAAAATATTACTCTGATAGGGAGAGATGGGAGGAGGGTTACTTCTACCCTCCAAGAGACATTATTCAGGAGTGGAAAGTAGTAGTTTAGAGTATTTGGGGCTTGAGTTCTAATCCCATTCTGCTGCACTATCTCCCTATATAGCCCTAGATAAGCCATGTCCCCGCTTTGTGCCTCAGTTTCCCCATCAGCAAAATGGGGATAATAGTACTGCTACCCCTTTTGACTCAAGTGGCTAGTCAAAGTTTGGGGTCCTGCTAGTTATTCCACTTGAGAAGAGATATTGACAATTGAGACAGGTACTCTGATTCAATCTTGTTCAGTTACAAAGAATATACAAAGTCCTGTTTCCCCAAACACAGGAGGAAACAAACAAACAAAAAATCAGGAGGCAGCTCCCTTGCTCACAGGACCAGCACTTTGACTCAAAAGCCCTCTATAGCAGTGTTTCTCAAACTGGGGCCACCGCTTGTGTAGGGAAAGCCCCTGGCGGGCCAGGCCGGTGGTGGACCTGCCCCATCTGCAGGTCCGGCCAATCGCAGCTCCCACTGGCCGTGATTCGCTGCTCCAGGCCAATGGGAGCTGCTGGAAGCGGCGGCCAGTACGTCTCCCCTTGTTCTGTGTCTATCCTCCCGACACAAACAAATCTCTCTCCCCAAAAAAGAATACTCAGCAAACACCCCTCCGCATAGTCCTTAGAATTCCTCAGCGGCCTTGGCTTTGTTTTGGAGACCACTATTGTTTCTTACATTTAACCTGAATAAAGGGCAGCACTTGAAGGGGGTTTAACCCAATATATAAACTGTACTAAACTTTGTCCAAGCAGTGTTATGAGAATTAATATGCTCACAGAATAGGCGCTCAGAACTGTGGTGATGAGCATGGTACAAGAATGTATATAGATTGATGACCTTTCAAGGTCCCTTCCAGTTCTAGGAGATGGGATATCTCCATAATTACTAATAAATAATACTTGGCTCTTACATATCACTTTTCATCTGTAGATCTTAAAACACTTAACAAAAGCTGGTCAGTATCATTACCCCCATGTCACAGATGGGAAAACTGAGACAGAGAGATGAAAATACTTGCGCAAGTTTATAGAGCAGGTCAGTGGCAAAGGCAGGAATATAGATCCCAAAGTCCTGATTCCCAGTGGATAGCTGATCGTGCTGCTTTCATTAACTGCCTGTAAAATACTTTGAAGATAAGAAGTACCGTCTAAGGCCCCAACCACGCACATGGTTAACTTTATGCACTGTGAGTTTTAGTGAGCTCAATGCAATAAAGATTAAATGTTAGTACTGTGCCGGGGAAGATCTACTCATATCAAGCTACTTGAGAATGGGAGAGTTTGTCACATCATAGGCCTGCTTTATATTATTATTAGCTACATTGCAGCAAGAATTGGCTGAAGGACAAAACTACACAGCAAGAATCCTCCTAGTAAGTCCTTCAGTATGGGACAACTGTCAAAGTCAGTTAATTTTTAGAACTACCAACTTTCAGTGGGTCTTTTTAGCAGACATATTCGCTACGAGGGAGCGATAACAAAAGTCCATATGTACTGGCTCTACTCTTAGTTATAGACGAAGTGTGGTTGGACTAGCCAAGATTAAGATGTTTGTGGAGTGATGTCATTGCTCAGACACAGTTGCTTTGGAGGAGATTCAGTTTTCCTTGGGACGCCTGTCCATTTTAGAAGATTTGTTGATCTTTGACTGACAGCTGGAGTTTTATGATCAGAGATGAGGGAAGATGGCAGCTATGAGCTTTTCCTCCACAATGAGTAAAATGGTCCTTTTAAGGTGGAAGTTGTCATTTCTGCCTCAGTTTAAAGAGCAGTCTTTGAGTCTAAGTGGATGAACGATATTAGCAAGTGTATATTTTAAAATACTATTAGATGCAACTTAGCTACGTTAAAAACCAAAACCAAACAAAAAGCATATGTTAAGGTTAAAAACCCACACACTCAAAAGTTGGGAAATGCCGGATGCACAGGATGGACAGAGCTTAATGAATGGTTAGCTTTTCAATATTTCTTTTTGCCTCATCATTCAATGTATGGCCTTATGCCTCAATTATTGTGTCTAATTTAAATGCTGAACTGAATACAGAATTATTGATTTCCTTGTGGGGTTTCCTGTGACACTCACCACTGTAGTATCCTAGTACTCCCCCAGCTACTGAAAACAAGGCAAAAACAGAAAAAAAGACAAATAAAGATACTTTAAAAAATGGGGGGTTGCAAATGCTTCTGGACTCTCAGACAGTAAAAACTGGAACAGCAGGCAAAGAGCCATGCATGTTCTGCTGGCATATTGCTTCTTTCGAGCAGATCTCCTTAGAGAGCAGAAAGAGATCGGTCAAAGGCTAGAGTGGCCTGGTTATTGATGTCATGACTTCCTCTCCCCAAGGTGATCAGTCATGGAGATTCTGGAAAGTAACTCTTCCCTCCACTGGTTTGGCTGGCTCAAAGGGCAAAGTTTCTCTACCCTATCCTTGATTCTTATGGTTTGAAAGCCTTCAAACAACTCAGGTGCAAGGCCTACCTTGGAGCCATGGAACTTGGTCCAATCGGGTATAAATTAGGTCATCGTTAGCAAGCATCTATTTGGAAAAGTCTGCCTTAATTCAGCAATTTTAAAAATATTCAGCATTTTGCATGTCACAGAGACCCCCAAAGGTATTGAGATGACATTCTGTCACCAGTTTACAGAAACTTCATAACAAGAAACCTATAAAAATAGCAGATTGTTAGGGCTCTTTTTCAAACCAGTCACCCAACATTCAACCATCAGCAAAATTAAAAATAAGCTTGAACAATTTATGATCCATGTCATCATTCTTCTTGCAAACAAGACAATTTACAGTAACCTTTCTATTTTTGAACTGGGCTATCAGTCAAAGGGCTTCTCTTCTGGAATCTTCAACCTGATAGAGAAAAGTTTCTTTAAAACCTATCAAGCATTCTTAAGTACCTTCATGCCAAGAAAACCTAACATTACTTACTTTATTGGCACCCCCGTTATGTCCTTCTGGTCGACATCTCCTGTCTCAAGCTACTTCTCACTGATAACATCTTCAATGGAGAGATGAGCGCTGAAAGAAAAATGCACACTGCATAAAGTTTATATCCACAGGTCTGGAAATTTGGCATATTTGGGGTCTTTAGTGTCATTGTTATTATTATTATTATTATTACAAATATACTCTGGAATTTGTGCTTTGGGCATAACTGACAGATCTAGTTGTAAAGAATGTATTTTTTTTTCCAAATGAGTTTAGCTGGGCTTATTTCACATTGGAGTATTTCATCGACAAGTGCAGCTCACATTCTTTTTGGTTTTGTTTACACCAGGCAAATGATGTGTTAAAAAAAAATTAGGTAACACAATTTTAAGCACCACTTAGCAACCTTTTATTTAAAAAAAAAAGTCCAACTTTTTCTTAAGATGTGACTACACGAGAAAGTTGCACCCGGATAACTTGAACTGTCTTTTAAAATCAGTTAGTTAGATTAAGAGCAACTTATTTTGATTTAGTTTAAGTTGATTTGGACATAAGCTGTTCTTAACCAGAATAAGAGTGTCCAAATAGCCTTTTGCACTGATTTAACGATATCAGTTTAAATTCACTCCTGAAGTTATACCAGTGCAACTTTCCCTAGTCTAGACAAGGCCTCTTATTTGTCCTGAGTGTATTAGACCGTACTGTCCAAATCACAATCTCTTCCTCCTGCACACTCCCTGAAAAGAACACATTATAAGACCGATCCAAAGCCCATTGATTCTAACAGAGTTTGGATGAGGCCTCATATGCCTAAGGCAGACACTCAGAAATCACGGCTACTCCATGCAGAGTTTATAAGGTTTAGCCTCCCTCACCCATCATTTCATACCATGATACGTTTTCCCCCAGTATGATCAATTCATCTTCACTTCCACATTACAGCTTTGTTTACCTCTCATAAACACTCCATCCACAACAGCAAGCAGCACTTTGAAAGAGTCAATTCCAAGAATTAGCCACTAAGAGGAGGGAATGAGCAATATTTGATGAACCCTTGGACCCAAGAGTGACAGCAAATTTCCTTCATAGTGCTCCAAGTCGTGCTATATTAATGCCTGAAACCGAGTTGTCCAATTGGGCCTGTTCAAATTTACGGACTTTTATATTGCTCCTGATTTTTGTGTGTCTGTCGATTGTAAACCATTTGGGGTTGAAAACATTGCCCATTTTGGCACCTCCTTCCACTGCACAATACCATGCATATTTATTAGTTATTAATTATTATTATTTATTTATACTGCAGTAGCAGCTAGGGACCCCAGTCATGGACCACGACCCCACTGTGCTGTGCAGAACAAAAAGATGGCTCCTACCCCAAACAATATATTGTACGGGATACTCAATACCTAGCCCCTTCCATGTGAGGATCTCAACGCACTTTGCAGTTAAGCTGCACAATGCCTTTGTGACGTAGTGAGGACTATATTATTAACTCCATTTTAAAGATGGGAAAACAAAGATCAGGGCAAGATCCTCAAAGGTATTTGGGCACTTAACTCCCATTGAAATGAAATTATTTAAACTTCACATTCAAATATTGGCAAAGTACAAAGTTCCTTGGCCTAACTGAGAATAATGTATATAAATCCAGCAATTGATGCTCTCAATCAAGCCACAGGATTATACACTTGTAACACACAGGGAAGCAGAAGTCAGCGTCGCGTTGCCTCTATGCCTGAAGTCTTTGGAAGCAATGGTGATGTAACATTTGCCATAGGTGGTTTGAGTGAACATAAAAGTTATATTAGGCTCGAGCTGCAGAAGGAGGATTTTTGGATCACACAGCACAACACTGTTGGAATTTTCCAAGTATGTTCATAGACAGGCTAGGAAAACAGAACTTACCAGCAGTTGGTACTAGTCATTTTTGTGTCTGATATCTCCGAGAAATCACACATGGATATTCAACTCACCAGTGCATGGGACAAGGTATACAATGTAATCATCCTAGTGCCAACAATTGGAGGAACTTAAGACAGTAATCTTAAAGAGTCTGTAATTACCTCTCTTCATGCTTTTCTGAGATTTATTAATCTCAACTCTGATCTGTTTTATCATAATAAGTGCATTTTCTTATCCACACCAATGTTGTTTGTCTCGCTCCTTCTTTTTTAACTTAAGAGAGAGAGAGAGAGAATCAAGACATTTTAAATCTTCAAGTCATAAAAGGGCAGGTCTCTAGGCCCTGATCACAATTGCAATGGGCTAAAGTCATAAAACGTTGACATTCACATCAATGGTTTGAAATGCCATAGAGGAGGCCCTGGGGCCATGTGTGTGATAGGGCATCTGTCCTCATAGGTCTGGGTGCCTCGATGGACATTGCCCTGGGCTGGCTGCCATTTTAAGGAGTTGGCCACCTGCGCTGGAACTCTCACTTGATCTTTCATGCATTCTGGGGAGTGGTACCATACCTTTAAGATGAAGCCTGGAAAGCGCCTGATGTGTGATTTCGCCCAGGGAGAGATCCCTATGCATGATACTAGAAGGCCTAGCCTCTGAATGCTCAGTGCTACAGTGGGCCTCTTGCAGTTCCAAAACAATGCAAGGAGGTTCTGAATCTTCTGGAACCTCTCTAGAGATGGGAAGATCCTTGCTATTGAGGTGGCTATGTGATGTCCAACTGAGTTATTTGGGTGGACGGAATCAAGGCACTTTTCTTGACATTGATAGTAAAGCCATGTGCTGACAGGTGATTCAAAATCAGGAATGTAGCTCTGTGTGCTGCTGCTGAGGGTGGAGCTCTGATTAGGAGGTCATCCAGGAAGGGGTACAGGTGGATCCCCTCTGACCTGAGTCTGGCTATGATTACCACCACCATCTTTGTAAAGACCCACGGGCCAAGAACAAGCTGAACGGGAGCATTCAGTATTAATAATGCTGCCTGCCATAGGCAGGAAGATATCTGTGATGGCAGGGTCTGATCAGGACACATGGAGGTATTACGCATCTGCCAGGTCCACTTAAGTCAGAAAATCCCCCTTGAACATAAATGTCACTGCAGAGGTTAGGTGTCCATCTGGAACTTTGTGCTCTTCATCTACTTGTTGAGCCTTTTGAGATCTAGAATGGTTCGGATTCCCCCTGTACGCTTCTGAATGAAAAAGAAGATGGACTAGAACCCTGAGAATCTTTCTTCTGCAGGAATGCTCAGCTCTCTATTACTCCCATATTCAGGAGGTGAGAAATCTTGTTCTGGATTACATTGCGCTGTAGGGGGTCATTCAAGACTGAGGACTGGATGGAAAATTAACAGAGCAGAGCCCATAACTCAAGGGAGTAACCTTGACCCACTGGCCCATGGTCAATACAACCCATTTCTCCAGGAAATGGGAAATCCTGCTCCTTAGCTTCAGCTCTCCGTGGAGACCTCTGCAATCTTTGTCATATAGAGGCTTTGAGAGTGGCAGGGCTCCCCCTGGACTTTTCTCCCAAGCCACAGTTCCATAGCTTTCCTTTGGAGAACCTGCTGTCCCTTCATTGGCATTTCTGCAAGGATGAAGACTGAAAGGAGTGCCTTTATCTGAAGCCAAGTCTGTACTGTCTCTTAAAGGCACGATGTGGCATTGAGAGGGTCTGTTTAGATTTTGCAGCGTTGTTCGACACTACCTTGTCTAGCTGCCAAAAACCAAGGCTCCCATGACTTTGGCTGAGAATCTCATTGCATCTATTGAGGGGTCAGCAATGAACACGATTGCCAGGGAAACATTCTTTAAAATACAGCTGAAGGCAGGGTGATCTCTACCCTGGAGGGCTCTGAGATCTTCCAGAAAGGAGAGAGGTGCTCTCACAAAGCAAGAAGCTGCTAGGGGTGCCCCGAGGGAGGCTAAGGAGGCCTCAAAGTTTTTTTGAGAGTGGCCTCAATTTTTCTATTCGTAGGGTCTGTAGGACAGAACTCCCCTTCTGAGGAGATAACACTCTCTTGCCAGGAATGCTGGAACAGCATCAACCTTTAGTATCTCAGTAATCGGGTCCTTTGGTTCCTGGACCTTATAGAACAGGAAGTTTAGACTTGAAATTAGACAAAGGTTTCTAACTATCAGAGGAGTGAAGTTCTAGAACAGGCTTCCAAGGGGAGCAGTGGGGGCAAAAGACTTATCTGGCTTCAAGACTAAGCTTGATAAGTTTATGGAGGGGATGGTATAATGGGATAGCCTAATTTTGGCAATTAACTGACCTTTGACTGTTAGCAGTAAATATGCCCAATGGCCTGTGATGGGGTGCTAGGTGGGGTGGGATCTGAGTAACTACAGAGAATTCTTTCCTGGGTGTCTGGCTGGTGAGTCTTGCCCACATGCTCAGGATTTAGCTGATTGCCATATTTGGGGTCGGGAAGGAATTTTCCTCCAGGGCAGATTGGCAGAGGCCTTGGGGGTTTTTCGCCTTCCTCTGCAGCGTGGGGCATGGGTCACTTGCTGGAGGATTCTCTGCACTTTGAAGTTTTTAAACCATGATTTGAAGACTTCAATAGCTCAGACATAGGTTAGGGGGTTATTACAGGAGTGGATGGGTGAGATTCTGTGGCCTGCGTTGTGCAGGAGGTCAGACTAGATGATCATAATGGTCCCTTCTAACCTTAAAGTCTGTGAGAACCTAAGGGCATTTTTGTTAATGTGCTTGCCCTTCTCTGTTGTATCCCATTCATCCCTGATTATTTCCTCCAAGGAGGAGTGTAAGGGAATTGCAGCCTCGGGGGAGAATTCGGAGGGGAGAAATTGCTCTGAAGATCTGGGGTTTGTTCAAGCTGAATCTGAATAGTGGATACAACCTTGTTGCACATGGCCTCAAATTCCTCAGAGGAAAAAAACCTTTGCTGAGTCTTTCCCTGGTCCTGATCGGAGTCAGGGCCCAACAATTCACCATCCTCTCTGGAAGAGGGAGGCTTGAGGAGGAATGAGATGATTCATATCGCCTCGATCTTTTATGCTTTTTCTTTCCCTTTTTTGCTCACTTACTGTACCAGCTCTGGAGCAGCTCTGTTGAAGTCCTCTCAGGAGATCTGTTTGAGTCCTCATCTGCTGGGTCCCATTCCCCCAGGGAGTGGGGAAGGGAAATGCTTCCAGGGCCCTCCTGGCTGACTTGGGAATGGGGGGAGCTGCTTCTCTTTCCAGGGCACTCAGGACCCAATCTGCTCTGTCTGTTCTCCAGGGACTCCTTGGGATCCTCCTTGTCCTTGGAGCCTCTCGCTGCTCTGCCCAGAGACTCCTGGTCCATTTTCCCATGTTGGAGTTGTGGCTGCTCTGCTGGGAGGGAGTCCCATGTGCCTGTCCAACTCATAGCACCGGTATCGAACAGAGTTAGGGAAGGAAGGCTGGGTGCAGGCTGGGCACAACTCACAGGCGGTCTCACAGATGGAGCTCAGTTTGGATTTTGTTCAGTGCCGTTTAGGCTGCTCTGCCATACCTAAAAGGCGCAGAGGAGCCAACAGGGAGGCACTGCAGCTGAGGCTCCAAGTGGGTTCCAGCACCTGACTAAAAACTGACCCGGGGCAGGGGAGGCTAAGGAGCGAGAATGCTGCTCTCCACTGCCCCAAGATTAAGAATAATTTTAAAAAAGCCTTAGGCAGATGAAAAGGCAGGAGCATCGAAACACCATCCCCCTGCTAGCACAGAGGCAGAGAATCTGGCCACAAGCGGGAGCAAAGGGAGGCGTGGCCAGAAAAGCTGCATCAAAAAGCTGATCTGCTTCCATGAGCAGCCCACACATCAAGACTTGTGGGAGACACTGGGCTGCAGAAAGGATTAGAATCCTGATTCCCTGGCTGCTTCTTTAATCACTACACAATGCTATCTCGTAATGGAATAAAACTGAACACTTTAAAGGGCCCAAACTTCCCATTGAAGAAAAAATTCCTAGTAACTGCAGTGGGAGCAAGATTTAGCCCAATACCATTAACTATCAAGGCATTACATTTTCCCCGTGCTGCTTATGGTTGCTGTCCAGATATCAGATGGCTTGCACAACATCTCATTATGAAAGATAGTAATGTTACATTATGAAAGAGGATAACTCAGAAGCTAAGATGTGTAGGGTGATATAGTATAAAATTGATTTTTAGATAGGACAGCCACAAATACTAAGCACCAAATCTGCGTTTTTGATTAGCTACATTGAGTATCTATAAAGGGAAGAATCTGAATTTTATATGGATGATTTGAGTCAACCTCATCAAAGCCAGAGCTACTGCATAAGTTATAAATCATTGCCAGATTTGCATTTAGATTCGTTTGTATACACTGCTCACAGATTTAAGAAATTAGTACTTTATTATTAATTATTATTATTGTTGTTGTTATTGGGGACAATGTAGGCGGGGGGCTGGAACAATTTTTATAGTGGAGGTGCTGAGAGCCATTGAACCAAACTGTAAACCCTGGATATTATGGAACCCACTTCAAGGCAGGGGGTGCGGCAGCACCCCTTGTTCCAGCACCTGTGGGGTGCCCACCAAAACATTCCTAGCTATGTCTTCCTTTTCACACTCATAATCAGTGATGGGAAAACAGCCAAAGTTATTCTTAGTATTTTGTAGTTGATCAAATCACTTCATTTTCTCTCATTCCGGATTCATTAGGATCTTTTGTATGATCACAAACAGATGATGGTAGAGTATGGGATTGGACTTCAACAAAAGCAAATTCAAATTGGTGAATTCAGCAGTTTCTCAACATTTATATCAAAATCAGAGCAATGGCTAGTATAAAACCATCAGCGGGGAAAAAGTCAAATTAGATTTTTAAGGGCAAATGTTTAGTATGCCTTCTTAATTGCACTCTGTAATATATATAGTACCCATCATCTGCCATATTTTATAGGACAGATTTTTAATATCACCTACTAAAATCAAAAATCTGTTAGGAAGCTTTGAAAATGTCAATGAACCAGTGCAAAGTATTATTATTAGGTGCAATCCGCTGGAAGCCCAGTATGGGTAGCAGAAGAAGGAATTTGTGCACCTCTCTGTATACATAAAAGCATGTTTTTTCACAGACACAGTGTAGAGCCTGTTTGAAAATATGCCCTTAAATGTTCAGTTTAACTAAAATGAAGTTGTAAGTGAAGCCGAAACAGACTTTGCAGATTTTCCCATACCCTCCCCAGTCATTACAATCTAC